AACTAGACAAACCACACCGTACTTGACACCGAAGGAGTCCATATCCAGGGGCGGCGCACCTGACTGACTTGGGATCTGACGCTTGACAGCCACACTTCAACGACCACCTGCCGCCGTCACCTGCCACCGCCATCTCTAGTTACAGAGACGACTCCGACAAAAAGAGCAATGGCGGTTCTGCCCCAGCAGAGGTGATGATACCCGAACTAGCAGAAGCACGGAAGTAATCATACCCGACCTGACAGAAGCCTAGGAGTGAGTGCGCGAGGTGGTTATAAAAGGCTCTCCACCCCCCAAGAACAGGGTATGCAAACTTTGYGCTATCTGGTTTTATCTTGCCTTTGAAGGATTCTAACTTGAGCTTCGGAGCCTTTACACCGGCTTCCCCCCGGAACTTCCTCATCTTTTCCGTTTCAGGTTCCCTGCTGTTCAGTTCAGAGGCAAGGTCATTGACAGCTAAGACCGGCCAGATTGCGCACCATCAGTTATGAATCCTTTTTTTGACATGATACTAAACTAAACTAAATGGCAAAGCAGGATTCATGTAGTTGACGTCATATAGTTGATATATGGCTCATATGATGATAATGATTGATGAAGCTCATTTCATTAAAAAGAAAAAGGAAAATCTTGACAACATTGAATTCTGGGGTATGTCAAATTTGATGATGCAATTTCGTTTCAAAGTTTGTAACCAGAAGTTGGTGTAAGGGTTTGTCCAATACAAAGTACCAACAGAGGGTAGAAAAGGATTGGACACAAATGGTCCATATGCCTGCGTGACTCTTGCATTCTCATTGAACTTGGGTAGTTTCACCATATGGAAACGTCATGTTGCTGATATAATGTACCATGGAAAAAAGGTTGGCGGGGGTACTCATGGATAATATTAAGGCTGATTTATTTGCAGCAAGTATGGGTGCAAATGATTTGAATGCAATTTTTTTTTTTTTTTTTTTATTTCCATTCCTACCTTAATTTATTTGTTTGCACTTTGCAGTTTAGATGAAGTAAAATCAGCAACAAAGTAAAGCAAAAGTGGATTAGAATTCTCATTTTGCATATTCATACATTTGTAATAGTGCAAATGAAATTCACTACAAACAGAAGAACCTTAAAGAAGCACTGAAGGTGGATTGGTGCAGAAGTACTGATGGCTTTCATAAATGGAATCCTCTCGTTGCCACATTGGACAAAGGGGCCAAAATCTTTAAGTGACTGAACTTTTTCCTTGATGTGACATGCTTTAAAAACAAGAAAAGCAAAAACGCCTCTTTAGCGTCAGTCATAATGGATGGTGTTTTGTGACATGAAAGTCTAGAAGAGTGTTTGCATCACATTAGTGTCTTTGCATGATGAGCAATTTTGGTTATGCCCAGTTGTCCACTTGTATAAAAATGCTGAGCAGACAACCGTATTTTCATGAAGAGTGTCCATTATATACAGAATCATCAGATTGAAGTTTCTACAATCACCACGATACCAAACATCTTCTGGAATGATATTCCATGTGATAATACATTCTTCTTCATCTTACTTGATTTCTGCAACTTTTTCTTAGAAAGCTTCTCTGGAATTCTGGCGTGTCTAATCGTGATTGGTTGTGTAACCCATGATATGCGCCATTGTGTGCCCAATAGATCCCAAATCATTTATCTTAAGCATTAATGCTCAGAGTTTCTAATAAAACACTACTTGCATATTTATCAACGCACCCAGTAAAGACTCCAATCTATGCATTGATTACCTCTCTTAGATATTTCATTAACCAGAAAACCAGAATTCTACTAACATATTTTACTGGATGCAGAGCAATTTCTTATGTAAAAAAGCTTGAACAGAGATATCTGTTTGTACAAAGACCTGGTTAACTTTCTCTCTAGGTAGGGCTCATTGAAACCTAAAAGAGTTAACAGAAAACCCCCCAAAAAGTAAAAAGATTATCGATCTGGTTAACTTAAAAACTAGAAAGTTTGAACAATGACCTCCAAATTGAAAATTCTCTTTGCATCTTTACAAAATTCCTCTTTACTAAAAGTTGCAGAACACTGAGAATGACACCCAAGGGACCAACTGATACAATTTCTTTCTTTCACTGCATTTATTAATCCTTATTAAGTGCTACGGAAAACGATACTTACAACTTCAACCCTATTTTTATTAACTGATGATCATTAGATCAGAATACTTCAGGTAGAGGCCTGCCTTCAAGAAAGGACTTGAATAGCACAAGTGATCTCTCTGGCTGAGAGAAAGGAGCTTCATGCGAAGCACCTCTAATGGTGGCAAATGAGAGGACATTCCCATATACTTGTGTCCATCCACCAACCTGGAAAAAAGGAAAAAAAAAGGCAGAAAATCTCAATTAATAAGTCAATCCTTTTAAGAGAAAATTCCTACAAAATATAACTATTTGATCACAAACAAGAATCTTCTTGTATCTCAATTTTTTGATACAATGATGTTAGAGAGTTAGACTTCTTTCACTCAAAGAGAAAAATAAAAAAATAAAAAAAAAAGTCAAAGATTTTTTTTTTCTTTTTATTTTGCAAAGTTTCTGAATTTCGTTAGTGCTCATAAAAAAGAGTTACCTGCTGCCCTGCGAACCAAACTCTGTAAGGTACTGTTGTATTCAGTCCAAGGTCCTTTGCCAGTCCATGTACCAAAGTCCGGCTTCCAGTCAGTGGGATAACAGAATCTTGATCTCCACTGCAATCAATAATATTCACTATCATTACTTTAATGTCTACTCAGAACAAAACTTTCTCTTAATCCTCCCAAGATCATGAAGAGGCTTCAAGCCTACGTTTACCTGTAAACCAACACTGGAATTCCAGCCTTAACAAGTGAGCCTACAATAGAGATTGTTGGTATCTCCAGGTTAAGCAGCTCATAGTTCAGGATACTGTAGCAGCCATCAGTTCAAAAACGAAAAAGGAAAAATAAGTCAATAGTGAAAGTAGTGCTCCTTTCCTCAAAGAGAGAGAGAGAGAGAGAGAGAGATTTTCTATGAGAAATTTCTCTGAGAAACAAATACTTTATTTTCTTTTGGTCCAAGTCTTGGCAAACAAAAGGAAAAACTTGTCAACAGAGGAACATGTCCTCTGTGAGTCCTACACTTCAAGCTATCAACCACAACCAGTCTTCTTGGGCACAGTATAGTCCCCACTCCCCAGAAGCATCATTCTGATATCACAACTAATGGATGGATCAGTTTTCAGATGTTGCATGGCCACTGAACTTACAGTCAACAGTCCAGCATACTATCATTGGCCATCAGCACAATAGACAAATCAACAACAGATACTGAACCTCAGCCCCCACCCTCTGAAAAAATTCTATGCAGAACCAATTAAATCTTTCTTTTGGTAAACTCAACAGAAAAAAAAAAAAAACCATGCAGACCATTAACCACAACCCCTCCTCTGTGACAGGAAAGTGCAAGAGTGATATCATTCTGCGCTGATTATGACCATTAAATTGGCCAATTTGGTTATGGTACAGCCATGAGACTACCAAGCTGTCATCAAAATGGTTCAGTTATGTCTGTACCTATGGGATGGTTGCAATTTCAACCACATACACACACACACACACAACCTAAAGCATAAACGACTTTTTAATTCATTTTCTTTCTTTAATGGAAAGAGTCAAGAAAAGTACTTGCTGCAAACAGCCCATCTGCGGACTCCTACAAGACGGGCATGGAGAGCTTTCTGCACATCCCTCCTGTTTAAGTAATTCACCGTTTCATCCTCAACACAGACATCAATCCTCTCTGTAACTTGCTGTCAGATTAAACAAGGAAAAGAAAATAGAAAAGAGAGGTGAAAGGTTGAGTCAAAAGAACAGAAGTGGATTAAAGAGAGGTAATTAATATTAGTAATAGGAAAAACGAAAACCATGGATTCAAAGCTCACCTGGGGACTAAGAACCTTGGATTGCGAGAGCACGGACGAAATGCAGACGTCAAGCGTAACATCATACTTGTCCACAAATCTACTGGTTTCTTTACTCACCTGGTTCATCACCTTTGAGCAAACAGAAGAAACAGACCCCCTGTAATATTCGCTCACATACCGAGAATAGTTACAAGCAGAGGTGAAAAGTCTGTATGTGGAATCTGATATCAACCCATGAGACCAGAAGAACTCAGCTCTCGAATTGAAATCGGTAGCAAATTCCAGAACTGGATTTCCCAGCTGCAACGGAAGAAACTTCAGTTAAAGCTCAAGCAAATAACATAGAAAAAGACAAACTAAAAAAAAATCTGGAAAAATCATTTCTAAATAAAGAGGGAAAACGAGGACGAATTCTCCAATTGTCAACTGATATAACCACATGAATCATGTGAAATTAAAAATAATATTCAAATAATTTATGAAGAGAATATTTAACTTTTCAACGTTATAATACAATACTCACAGCAATTCCTTTCAGGTTGAACAACTTTTCCTTCTTGTTGAATTGAATCATGAGATCTGCGAGTTGTGGAATATAATGGCCTGGAAATAAACAGAAAGCCTTAAAAATTGTATCTTTCGTGCTTGTTGCAGTCACTGGAGATGGTAGTTGTTTTGAGGCAACAAAATACCTGCGTAGCTTTCCCCAGTTATGAACAGATCCCTGTGCTTATACTGTGGAAACTTGAGAAACCACCGTTGCAAGAACACGAGATTATCCCTGGCTTAAGAAAGCAAATGCAAAAACAGTTTCAGAACACTGAAGAATTTGATACTTGCACAGAACCCATGTCTTGGAATCAGCATAGTAGCTGATCTGGATTAGGAAAATTTCTGTTTTTTTTTTGTCCCCTTGTTTTCTAGAAATTACTGAAACTTCTGAGACATGCCTGTTATCTTATCGTCGACAGCGACATAGGAGGAGGTATCGGTTGAATAAGAGAACCCAACTCCTACGGGTGTCTCTAGGTATAGCATATTTGCTTCTGCAAAACAGAGAAATATACAAAAAAAAACAGCTGGGTGATGCAATCATCCATTAATACTCAAGAAAGAAAACAAGAAATTGAACAGAACAACATTTGGAGGAACAAGAAATTGAACAGAACAACATTTGGAGGAACATGGTACCTGAATTCCAACTATACTCATTTCTGACCAAAACCTCTCCACTTGGTCTAAAAGGTCCATTTTCGGAGAATGCCCCAACTCCAAGAGAAGAACAACCAGGCCCTGCAAAAAGGAAATCAAACAATTCAGAATGGACAGAACACCAAATTCTTTCCTTTTCTCTCTTTGTCTGCATCCTACATTTCTCTTTGCACTTCATTTGTACCCAGAAAACCCATTTGAGAGAATGAGATGGAGCTGCAGACCTCCGTTTAGCCAAAGAACCAGAGGCTTCGAAGACGGATCTATTTCTGCTTCAACAAAGTAGTAGAATAGAGCTCTTTCTTTCTTTTCGTCCACAGTAACATAGCCTGAGAACTGCTGGAAACCGACTTGGGGTTGACCGGGTAAAGCAATAATTTTATCAGAAGGAGATAGAGAGGCTGAAATCTCCAAGAAAAGGCACAGCTGAAACAGAGTTGTAAGAGCGGCAATGGCATTCCAAGATGGAGAATTCATGATTCCAGGACGGAAGAAGATCGGTAGGGAGACAGGTAGAGGGTGAGAGAAGCTGAGGCAGCTATAAGTTGTTGTTGCTGAGTGAGGGGGCATTAAATAAACAGAAACTTCTGTCTCTTTTTTATTATTTGTTTATTTCAACTTTATTTTTCACACAGGCTTGAAGGATGGACATGAAAGAGGTGCAGGAGGCTCACAAACAATTGACATTTCACACAGTGTGTTAGGTCTCCGCTGACTTGGCTGAGTCAGTATAGGGTAGAGTGCTTTGAAAATGATGGGGGAGTAATGGAATCCTGAGCAACTTTTAAAACCAAAATTTCTTACCAGAAATTGCAGCTCAGTGGCTTTTAGTTTTGTTTTAACCAGTAAGAACCCACAAAAAAAAAAAAAAAAATCTTTGTTCCATGGAAAGTTGCTTTGTACAAGTTACTTTCCTTTCTCCTTAAAATGAATGAAAATGACAAAGGAGTAGATTTATATATCTCTAGTCTAGAAATAAAAGAAAAATACACCTTCTGATCTTCTCTGGTTGAAAAATAAAAGTGTGATTGAATGACTATAGTCAGAACAGACCATACTTTGAGTAATTATGCTTTGATGATCTCCATGTACAGACCCAACTCTTCTTTTCCAATTTCATAAATGCACCTACACACTATGTATTGTTAAGCAATGGCAGACTGCATTAAATTGAACGAGGAAAAAATGCATTCTGTGACCGTAATTTCTTTCTAAAGCATTTATCCATTGTTATTTTCATAAAATCCACTGTGATTATTCAAGAACAACCCATTTTGGAACTTCTTTTTTCCTGTTTGCATTTAAAAGAAAAGTTTTTCCTGTTAGCTCTTTTATTCCTTTATCTACTCGGCAGGAATTTTACTTTGTTTTTTCCTTGCTTGACCACTGTGAAATAAAAAGAAAGTGCTTTCTTAATATTGAGGTTGAAGCCATCTTTGATCTTTCTTTGCCCTTAATAGTTAATACATTGAATGAGGAATACATGGCAGAGGTATCATCTAATCTAATATATGTAAATTGAAACAAAATGTGGGATCTGAAAGTATGGTCCACCAAAGATCGTTTTGCTCCCTACCTGAGGGGAAAGTCCCTAGATAACAGAAGGCATTTTGGAAAAAAGTTAGTTCTTTTTGTACAGTCGTCCCCACTTGAGAACCTGACACCAGGCACACATTTCCTTGCCAAGAAAAAGACCACCCCATGAAAACCAGAAATTGATTTTACAGGTTTGTTCTGAAAATTGTTTTTAACAGTTGTTTGAACTTTGGAGAATCTAAATTGATTTCTTTACCAATTATCTGATTATCTTTCTGTTTGCTGAGGTTACAGGGAAAAATGGGTCTTGCATTATATAGAATTTCCTTTGTAAGTTGCAACTGCCCACTCAAGATGACTCTTGTTTTGATACCCGAAAAGAGGATTAATTTGGTGGCAAGTATAGGTTTGTCCGGTTTAGGTTTCAACTTTTTATAAAGAAGAAATTCATTTTGAGGTGAGTATATTTTTCTTACAAAATAAATAGAGTATTAAAATCCAGTTTCAACTAGAAGAGTGTTTCCAAGAACCAATGAGATGATCCCACATTAAGGGGTCGGATAAACATTTACATAAACAATATAAATATATGCATCAAAGTATAAATTTTTAAGAGTGATAGGATATCCATCCTTTGTGGTCTGTACATTTTCTTTCCTTTGTTAAGTGAAGTGAGGTACTTCAATTGTTATTTATTCTCTAGCATGTCCCCTTAAGCAAAAGCCCGGTATGAAGTATGTACAAGAATAGGCCCCACCCATATCTCATATTAAATTTAGGGATGTCTATTTGGTGGTACCCATCTCTACCTGCCTTGACGGAGCAGATTTTTTTTTTTTGGATGGAGAATTTGAATTCTCAAAATCCAATCCGCTACCGGTGTGGGAGTGACTAAGAGTTAATGTTTATGGAGTTGGGGGAGTGTTTGATTTTCAACTTCTATTTGTAAAAGGTTGCAAGAAGAAACCAGAACAGATTCAATCCCAAGAGCGTAATCAGCAGAGTGGTATCATATCCCAACAGTGAATGAGACAGTAAAAAAAAAAAAAATCATTTTCCTAATATTTTTAATGATATTTGTAGATTCTTCTATTGGCCACGTGGGCACATGAAGTACTGTATACTGTCCTGATAATCTCTGAAATCAAGGGTAATTAAGTAAAAAAGGAAAGCAATTATGTGTAATTAATTACCCGCCCAATTTGTGGGATTTGCATCCACCCATTTCCTAGCCGTTGCGTTTAAATAACTAGACTAGACAAATAATGATTATAGTATTTAATTAAAAAAAAAAAAACATTGTTGGTGTCATGGTCCCTAAGATGGTCACAACACTTTGTAATTGTCTACATTCTAAATCGACGTATGTCTCAAATTCGCTGCCTGCTTTTCCCTGAAACTCGAAGCAGAATTCTCATTTGCATTTGGATTTGATAGAGATGGATTAGGATTAGCCGATTAGGATAACGATGGATGAATAAACAAACAAACAGCAAGCAAACAAGAAAAAGTGGAGGTCTGTTCTTCGTGAGGATTGAGGAGGAACACCAAATATTTAAAAGCAAGGAGGTGATTAATTACCAAAATAACCAGTAGAAAAAAAAAAGGTACTAATACTAATTCCCTTGACATGCTCACATCAAAATTCACATGCAAACGCCATACCGAAATTGACAATCCTCCTCCCTTTTTTTCTCACAAAAGTTTCCCGAGTTTTCAAATTCGTCCCTTTCACTGTCTTCGTGTTGTCAGCACTCACCACAGCTGGTCTTTTTAAAGTTTTAACAGAAGTTATGATTTCATAGGCCCGAACGAACGTTATGCCGTTTCACAAGAAACCCCATTCTTCCATGCAATCACGTTATTGCCACTGCTATTTTTCTAGCTACACGGGTTTGGTTAATCCTTACGAGAGGTAACACAGTTTGAAAGTTTGATCTAATGAGCGAGAACTCAAACCCCAATCCAGGATCTTTGGCGTCTCTGAGGCCTCCCTCCTCCTGAGACTACTGAGCAAGGCAACAGTGAAGAAGGGTACAGTGCACATGACACAAGAAAGAGCTTCATCTTAGGACAAATAAAATGTAGAGAGTAGGCCATTCTTCCTTCCTTTTCAGATGCAGACTTGGCAATATCAGCCAAGTAAAAAAAAAAAGGAGATAATGCCAGACAGCACGGGATGGAGCTTCATTTATTTTTAAATTTTTGACGGGACCCACTTGGAGTAGCTTCTGCTTCAACGTGATTGAACAACAGATAGAAAGAGAGAGAGAAGCATGAAGCATCAGATCAAATTGGGTTTCAGAAATGACCAATGGTGATGTTCTTCACCCTGCAATTCTGCTTCTGCACTGCTCCTGGGAAACCAGCGAAATTCTCTTCTGCCTGAATTAGATAGAATGGCTGTTGCCTGTTAACCACCAATGAGCGGTGGGTTTGATGGGAGTGAGACTGTGAGACTGTGAGAGGAGAGACCCGCAGCCGCAAGTAATTCAGATGCCATAAAAAAACCAATATTAAGTTCAGACTTTCACAGCAGTGAGTGCTGTGCTAGCTGCTCAAGGAATTAATCCCTAAAATTGGGAAGCGGCAACTGGCAAAGCAACTTCCATTTCATGAACCAACAAGCAACCAACTACTCTTGGTGTTAGGCTAGCAAATGAGACACTATTATTCTCCGACATCCCCATTTCTTGGGTTTTGATTTCCTTACTTTTGTTGGGAACTACAACTCCTGGGGGTCCACCTTTTGATGGTTTTCCTACCAGCTACCAAATACAAATTGTCCATATATATATATATATATATCTGCAATGCACGCCTCCAATGCTGAATGCCCACTCCTGTGTAGTCCTATTGTTGTCCACTCTTGTAGTCTTATTGTTGTTTTCTCATTGCACACATACATACAAAGTGAGAATGCATGTGAGACGACCACTTCATCAAGTTATATTTAATTAAGATAGAACTAATTATTTTGGGTTTGAAGACATCGAAGCCCAAAGTAGGCTTTTTCATAAATTTGGAGTCTTGCGATGGAAGCAAAGGTTCAACTTTTGCAACCCCACCTCCTCTTTCACCATTCTTTTCATGATGGGGTTTTTTCAATTATTATTTTCAGAAAAAGCCCATTAACTTTATCAACAGAGTTTTCCCACTTGTTTTCGTTTAGAAAGAGGCCATCGCAGATACCCCATTTGTCTCTTATTTTTGCCCCCCTCCATCCGCACCAAGCCCCACTCTTACCCATGATTTAAGAGGAAAATTATTTATTTGAATAGAATGATGTTATTGGATAGAGCTATATGCAAAATCCCTGACCCCCCAGCAAAGAACAGTTTGTTTCGTTGAAAACTTCAAATGGTATTTCCCTGGTGAGAGAGGGGTTAAAAAGAAGATGGGACACTCTTATATGTTGGGACTGGACCTAAAGCAATAGTACTGGGAGGAATCCTTTTTTTTTTTGGCTTTTTACTCAGCAAACTGGTACTGAAACAAGACTTGATTTGGGCAGAAAAATGCGCTTTCCAGTTGTTCTATTTCATGGGCCTAAATTATTAGGTCGTATCATTTGGTTCAGGACCTAAATACTTAATAATCTTTGTATTAGTTTTTTTTTTTTTTTTTGTATTGTTTTAGTATTCGTTAGTAGTTAGTACGAATACTTAAGAGAGACAAATTTCATTTTATCAAGGTACACAATCATTTATTTTTTAGCAGTTGTGTACCTCTTGCATCATATATTTTACATCTTACAACATAAATTAGATTTGGGAGAATGACGGGTCAGAATTGGGTAGGTGCCACCTCAGAATTGATGCTAATTTATGGGCCGCCATTGGCGCATAGAGTGTGGATATTTGACATTTTGAATGTTTATAGATTTGCAGTGGGATTTAGAAATCTACATTACGCCTATCTATACTTTTCCAATTAAATTTTGGTGTGGGACTCATGTGATTTGTGACAAATGAGGGACCCATTTTTAAATGACAACGTTTGGGAAGGTTATAATTTGAAAAGGAGACCTGGACTGTCAGACCGTTCGGTCCAAAAACCGTTCAATCAATTGGTTCCATTTTACCCTTAACCCGTATTTTGGTAAAAAAATGTTGACTTGGTCAATAATCTGCTGACCTAGATGATTGAACTGTCCATCCATTCAACCTGGATAATGATTTTAGGTCGACTTTTTATTCTATTTTTTTTAATTGGAATGAGTCATCCATTTAAACTGGACGGCTGAACCATTGACCCAGAAAAACAATGCCTAAAACAGTTCCATTTCTGAATCGATTTTTAAAACATTGTGCAAGAAGGAAAAAAAAAAAAAGTCTCCCCATATTGGAAAATACTTAACAACAATAAGCTTAATCCATTAGATGGGAAAAACTTTTGGCTATTGGGGGCCAACAACCTGTGCTGTTGAGAACATTTTTGAGAATGCTATGTTACCGTAGAGTGAGGTAAAATAGTAATTGCTCCCTATTTCTTTTTAACCATAATCATAGATATGGGCATGAATTGATAATCATGTCGGCCTAAAAACACTCTCAACAGCAGTTGGCCCCCAACAACCATAGTTAACTCCATTAGATGTAGCACAGATGGTAGAGCGCTTGCTTAGCATGCAAGAAGTACAAGAATCAATACCCCACATCTCCATTATATTTCATCTGATCTTTTCAAGTGTATTAAAAAAATAACAAGCTTAAAAAGGCAAAAAAGAACAACCATTTACTTTGGTTCTATGCAAATCTAAATTAGATACAAATTTTGTATTCAGTTCAATTTTTGTATTTTATCTCCTAATACATTAATTCTTTGTTATATATAATGTTTTAAAAACTGATCCGGAATTGGAGTCGTTCTGGCCACTGGTTTTTAGATTGACGGTTTGACCGTCTTGTTCAAACAGCCGGCCCATTCTGATAAAAAATTAAAAAAAAAATAACCAAAAAAAATGTCAAACGGGTCGATGATTCGATTACCCGGGTCAATAAGTCATTTACCAATTCAATAATTTTTTGCCAATGACCTGGTTTGGGGTAAAACAGAACCAATTGCTTAAACAATTTTTGGTCTAAATGGTCTGACCATCAGGGTCAATGGCAATTCGAAAACATTGGTTATGTAAAATGAGGAAATAAGCAAATAACATTCATGCCGCTTCCATTCTTTTATATATAAAGTAAGAATACATCATTCATTTTACTTGGCACAAACAAATAAAACAAAATTTAATATGAAGAAAAAGTAAACCAAAATTTATACAGCCCATATTCACTCCCATCCATCTACACCGGTGCAAATGAAGCTTGTGTTGTAAATAAAAGGAAGCCTAGTGAAATACTAAAATAATATGTAAGAGGTTTCATTTTGGGTAAAATCAGGAAGTAGGAACTTGAAAGGCAGAACCGCAGAATATAGGTAGGTTTGAATTTGATTGAAGGCTTAAACGTTTGGAAGGAAGGAATGGAGCATGTCTCAGTGTCCCTCACTCTCACTCTCACTCTGTTTCAAACCCGGCGGACACCGTGAAAGCGATGATTGGGTCAAGTCGTCAAGAAGGGAATGATTTCAAACGGAAGAACATTTTAGTCACGCGTGGCATGACTTACTCACGTGGAACATTCCTTTTAGCAATGACTCTTGGGCCCACCCGTCTAGTGGAGACAAAATGGAAAAGAGAAAAAGAGGGGGAGGGGGAGGGGGAGGGGGAGGTCCCAATTCCCAAACTGAGACGGCATTGGGTCCCATCCCGTGACGCTAGTGGTTGAATCTTCAGCAATCGCCTTTTGGGTGAGCCACTGAGAGTCCACAGTGGCAGTGCAGTAGTCGCAACTCGCAATTACCCTCCACTCCAGTCCAGTCCAGTCCAGTCCCCACTCCCCAGCCACAAGCCCACAGCATCAACAGAGTCAGAGAAGACAGAAGAGTGACTCGGCTCCTCTTGGTTTTTAAATCTCCAAATACAATGGCACGTGTTTCGAGCTTGTAAGGCCTGCAGCCTAGTAATCATTACCCTCGGTTTCACTCCATGCCCCCTCTACATCCTCTCTCTCTCTCTCAATCACCGAAAATAGTTCAGTTCAGTTCAGAGCTCAAATGTAAAAAACTAAAAATAAAAGGCTGGTGCTAGTTTATTTGTGTTGTTGGAAGTGAGAGTGGCTATATCTCGAGTCTCGCCTATCTCTATCTATCCCTTGTGCCCACCTTTTCCATTAAAAAAAAACTTTGCTTTTCATGCGTGTCCACAGACTCCACACACCCTAATATTACAATCACATGGACATGAACATCAGAACATGGTGGTAGCACGGGCACGGCGCTAGGGTTAACATCTCTTAAGTCTCAACAACAACAATTCTACTTTTTTATGTCTTTGGTCCGAACTCCAAACGTAGTGGTTAATGGGTGGGACCGTGGTGGGGGGAATTTACAATAACAATTAACAAGACCGTGAACCGGTGAACGCATGCGCGTACAATCAGAATCAGGCTTCAGGCATCATCAGCCGCGTGAGGACTGAGGAGCAAACACCCTACTCTTCCAATGGCAATGTGATCTGTCCCATTCCATTTCCAACAACGGTCCATCCGAATAGGGACAACCCACACTACCTTCCCTTTCCCCTCTTATTCTCTCTCCCGGGACCCGTGTGCATCTCCGGGATAAAAGAAAACTTTCAAGTCCAAAGTTTGGGTCTGACCGTCTGCGGACTGAGGAGGACACAACTCAAACCACTCTTGTGAGTTGTGACCCATTAATGGGTCCCCCACCTACCAGATTGACTGGCAAACAATCAGCTTAACTAGTCTAAAATTCTTGTTTCCAAAAGCAAACATGCTATATTGTTATTATGCCGTGACTGTGGTAAAGAGTACTTGAGCTATTTGAAAGCTCTGAAAATAAAGCATGAATTAGATAGATAGAGAGGCCCATCCAATGATGTGCCTTAACCTTTGAAATATATGCCACGTGTTAAGCACTTTAGTTACAGGATCCTCACTACCAGACCTTTTCTGTTAGACATGGATCCCACCAACTTTCTAATTCGAAATCCCTATAGTTATACTCATGATCATGATACACCATGCCAGCTCCGTACGTTTCAGGTTGACATGAGGTGAAGCATTTCCACTTCTGAATGGGAAGTTGGTGCGAACAAAGGTGCGTCAATTGCTCAGTCTCAGTGCAAACACAGGGTGAAGACCAAAAAAACAATGAAGAACGAGTCAACATACCTGGACTTGGATCATTGCTACTAGACGGAGGTTTGGGCTCCAATTAGTAAGAATGATGGAGAATTGGTTTTTTTTTTAATTTTATTTTAAAAAAATTTAGTTTTCAATTACAAATTCAAATAATCGCAAGCTGTTACAAAAACAAGTCATTATCAAAGTATGTTATCGCTTTTAAATCTAAATATATGATACAAACACCATTAAAAAGACCTAAAAAGAACGAAATGTATATAAAAATGGGTGGTGCATCTCCCTGTATCTCTCACTAGTAATACAAGTGATACAATGATCTTAGATCTCCTAAAACGGGACACTGCAAATAAAGCCAAGGAAGATGCTCTTGCAAAACTTGTTAAAGTCCAGAAAACACAACATAAACATATCAAAGGTGGCAATCATCAAGGTGAGGCTTCTGAATTTGCAACTAACTTGTGATTGGCAGTAGGTGCAGAAGCTTGATCAATTTCCTTGCGAGATGCTTCCCATAATTGCTGTTCAATCCCAAGCTTCCTCAGCTCCATCAGACCTCGCTCAACTTAAAACAAATACCAACCATGAGTGCAATGAACAATCCAAAATTCAGGATTGATGGTAGAGGGGGTCTCAAATATGTGAATTCCATCTACTAATAATCTGCATAGTTCAATCTGCCAATTGTAGGGAAAACAAAGATTGGCAACACCAAAACTTGAGAAAATTGGTGATTTTATCCATTGACTCAAACTTTGGCATAGCTCTGACCAGAGTAAATGCTCTATGTTGTTTTTTTCCAGTCCTCACTTCTTGGAAGGTGTTTAACATAGTTTCATCCTCTAATTGTTAGGTATCAGGATACTAATAAACTTTTATTTATTATTGTAGTTGATAAAACTGTTCCTACAACAGGAGAAATGACTTAGGTTATAGAACAAAATCTTATCATAATCTCTTCATCACTTCATGAGGGATTTATGTTTATAGTAACATAGATTATATTTTATCCCCCTTTTTTGAAGAAGGTAAAGTATTGAATTGCATTAGAAGTGAAAACCAAATCAGCCCATGTACAATGAGAGCCTGTACATTGGGAGTATACAAAAAGACCTGAGAAGTCAGTGAAGAAAACCATGTTAACATTCTTCAGGATGATTTCCATTTTTCAAAATTGTATATCTTGGGTTTTCATATTTTTCAGCCAAGTAATCAATGTACTAAACATTTTCTAGAAGTTGCTCAGCAGTTACACACATGACAGTTGATTTAAAAGGCCAGCCTAACAGGACTCAAACTATCACCCCACAAGTAACCAATGTACTAATGCACTTTCTTTTGGTTGCTGCCTAAGAAATTTAAGCTTGTATAAGATTTTGGCATAACCCCCCACCCCCCCCCCCAAACCAGGTGCAGGCGGGATTTGATCGCAAGTCTCCGTTACGACCAGCAGAAGACCTTGCCAACCCGTTGGTTGGCACCTTGCAAAAGAAAGGAAACAATTTCCATGATATTTATTAGGAAAATTCTATGGAGACCACCCCAATCCCTCAACTGCTTTTCAGCTGCTTGTATCTAGAACAATGAAAATTAAAAATTCCCTTTAGGGTTGCCCTAGTTTTGAATGCGGGGGAGGTAAGGGTCATAGAAGTGCAGGTATCTGCAAAATTCCCAAAGTATTGATACATTCAATATGTAATATGTATTTGACAAGTTTAGCCTAATTGAATTTTATCATGTAAGGGGGGTACCTCATCAATCAAACCAACCAAATTCAAAGCCAATATGTAGTCCTTGATCCAAAAGTTGCACGTCCAGGGTTCCAAAAAGACATGCAGTTTTTGATTTAAGAAAATTGGCCTGATATTTGAATGGCTTGGACTAATGATCATGTGCACAGTACACATRTAATCAACCTTGCACATTGGTGCATTGATCCATCTTCTGGTAAAATGGCAAGCTTTCCACAGTCCTTCTAAAGTGGCATCCAGAAACCATTGGGTATTTCTCCATACACATACCAAAAAAAAAAAAAAATTTAAAAGAAGACATTAGTAGGAAATTACCATCAACAGCATCATGTGATGTTGGGGATTGGCCGCTGCGACTGATCCAAAATCGAAGTCTCTCTTCAGCAATATCCTCTTCCACACCATGAGCTTTGGCTCTTCTCCAAAAATATGTAAGCCATGCCTGGGCAAGGTAATAATATACTTTGAGAAAATATGGATCTGATTAGAAGCATAAATAAAACCATAACTCATTCTTAATGGCATCCTAATTTTAATTGTGTACTTCTGTTCATGTTTCTGTAGAAATGAGAAATGAATGCCAAACCTCCTTGAAAAGAACGTCTTCAGACTCCTCTTGGCTCAATTCTGCATGGAAAAGAAAAAACATACCTCAGTTTCCTTACACTCTGCAAGGAAAAGAAATCTCAATTTACTTCCAAGAAATATGTTTAAAGAATTGAACAGGTAGACACTCCAGTCCCCAAGGAAAAGATCGTGGTTGCATTATTGGGAGTACTGTAGACACCTAATGGTTATGCATTGTTTCCTTGACATTAGCATATGTATAGATTCTAAAGCAAAGCTATGATATATAATTCTTACCAAATGCCTCCATGAACTTTGGACCAGGTGACTGAGGATCTGAGGATATAAACAAGAAAACAATTTAGTGCATACAGTATATCTATAAAATTCCTAACACAAAAATAACTTGAAAAACAAAACTTCATTGAAATCAAAATGGCTACTTGAAGATTTGGTCAATATTGGTGTTGCTGATCTAGGATATTAAAACTAGGACATTTAAAGTTCACTAAAGCCAGTAACTTAGATTCATCAGAAATCATATCAACATTTAACAGGTTGGTTCTATAGTAATTGGTGTACATATAATTTAGAAAATAAGTAACAAGATTAATCTTTGCAACCTTTTCTGCTCATAAGATCAAGGACATTTCCAGGAAAATAGCTAAGGGTTCATGCATGTTTAACCTTTACATAACCAAGAAGGGTATGCTATAAACTGATAAAGTGATAATATACCCTAATTTTTTTGGAAGGAATTTTTAACAAATTTAACAGGTCCACAAAAAAGCATGATAATGATTAATTCCATAATTTAAAAAAGGCTAAAATTGATGGCCTGATGAGTGCTAAAGCTTTACGAATAGGGCAAACAGACATTTAGACTTGGTATAAAATTTACCAGACTGAAAATATATTCACTTTATCAAAGTTGTTTCAAGGAAGGAAAAAATAAGTGAAAAAGGCTCATAGCACCAAAGTCATCAAATAAGGGAGGCAAGACAGGTGGATAGCAGCATAGAAGCAGAAAGTTTTTGGATACCCTGATCTGCAAACTTCCTTGCAGACTCACTAGCTCGAAAGGGAAAGGCTGACCTTGAGTTGGGGAAACTGTCCTTTAAGTTAACAAAATTATCTTGGGTTCACTTTTGATCCTTAAGCTGAGTGGGCAGCAATCACCTGACTCTTGGTAAAGAAAATATAGAAATATCTTGTACTATTTTGTGACATACTAAACTTTTCACACTATCAAAAAAATTTCTATTACCAATCTCGAAAACGAAGGAAAGAACAAGTTGTGATAAAACTATCCTGCTAAAACATATCTTGATATATAAATGCCAAGCAACTAATAGATTATGATATAACAACCTGAGATGGACTGTCGAACCAAATTTGGACGCCGGTGTTGGCCTAGTGCAATCACAACAGCATCTTCAACCTTAAGGTCATAGAGAACAAAATATAAACAAAATGTCAATTTAAAGAAAGAACTACCCATGCGATGCACGGGAAAATCTAAATGATTTAATAATTTTATTTTTCATTTAATGTTGATTTATAAAAAATAATTATTGTTAATGAATATGAATAAATATTTTTTAATAAATTTAGTTTTATTAATAATTTGTAGTAATTTTAATAATTTTTATTCTTTTTTTATTTTTAAATGAAAATTTGATTAACTTTAAATAAATAAAATACTTATAAAAACTAACATTTTTATTAGTTCCACTAATAATTAACAATTATATAGGAATGACAACTGGGTGGGTTCAAGGCAGGGCACCCCATCCCTTTCCCTACCCCATAGTCAAGACACTATACCCCATCTCCGCCCCGTCACCAGTGTCACACGGGTTCAGGGCAAGGTAATCACTCCTCAATGTCGAGCAAGTTCAGGGGCAAGGCACCCCACTCTTCATCAAGGATGGAAAATCCTCAAATTTCCCTGCTCCATCCCCAGTATTGGGCGGGTTCAAGTAGAGGTGTAAATTGGGTCGTGTTGGATCGGCACAACACGACCCGCATGTGGCCCGCACAAAGTGCGAATCGTGCCGTGCTGGCCTACGAGGCGTCCCAAGCCATGCCTCCCTCCTTTAGGATAATTTGGGGGGTCGTTTCGGCACGGCCTATGGCCCAAGCCCGCACAGGCCCGTGTCGTGCTGTGGGTCGGGCTGGTCCATGCCAGGCCATGCTGCACACCAAGCCAAGCTCAAGGCAAGGCACCCACTCCACGTCCAAGATTTTTAAAATTGGACCGGATAGGGAACCGTTCTGGGGTCGAACGGTCCTACTGCTCGGTCCGAATGGATGACCCGCTCTGATAAAAAAATAAAAAATTAGAAAAACAAGAAAAACGCCAAAAACTATTGCTCAGGTTGACAGTTCGACTGCCTAGGTCAACGGTTCACTAACCATATAAACGGTTTTTGGACAAAAAGCGGTTTTGAGGTGAAAAGATGTCCGGTCTAACCATCTGGTTTGGTCCAGTTTTGAAAACATTGTCCCCGTCAACCCAATATTCAATTTGATGATAAAAATGATCAAAAGGATATATAGAGTATCAACCACATGGTAAATTTCTAAAAGTACACTAAATTGTCTTTAATATTAAAAAATGTAATTTTATGAAAATTTTGGAAAATTTATTGTACTTGTGTAATTTTGAAAATTTATTCAATTTTTTTTAATTTTTATAAAATAATTTATTTTCTTGTTTTTTTTTGAGAAAAAGTAAGGTAATTGAATTAATACGTATAACTATAACATATTACAGCCTTTGGTCCACAAAACTCCATGTACAGACAGCAACTATACAAAAAGTTACCAAAAAACCAGTCTCTCCCAAATACAAACAAGAGACACCCAACTAAATCAAGTAAACAAAAAATCCAAATCAAAGTATTGATGGTGGGGGATATGCTTAAACGAGTCCTTGGCTGACAGCCAGGAATGTAAAGCAGCCAATGCCCGAATTATACTAATTTATCTTATAATTTCTAATATAAACTAACCAATAATTTCCTTTTTTCCAATATTATACGAATTTATCTTAATAAATTGTGTAATTATTTGTTCAAATTATAGTTTTCCATTTCCCAAAGTCATTATTCTTTAATAATTTTCAATGAAAATTACATAATTTTTCAATGGTTTTCCAAAATCTATCAAATGTAATAAATTTCCTAAAATTTCCAAAATATTC